TGACTTTGCAAACGCCTTCCCACACACACTGAACTAAAATGTTTCTCTCCTGTGTGTGTTCTTTGGTGGGTCTTAAGATATGACGACCATGAAAATGCCTTCTCACACACAGTGCACTTGAAGGGTTTCTCTCCTGTGTGTGTTCTCTGGTGTCTTTGAAGATGTGATGACTGTGCAAACGCCTTCTCACACACAGTGCACTTGAAAGGTTTCTTTCCTGTGTGTTCTCTGGTGGGTCTTAAGATTTGATGACTTTGCAAACGCCTTCCCACACAGAGTGCACTTAAAAGGTTTATCTACGTGTGTTCTGTGGTGTTGTTTAAGAGTAGATGCATCTGAAAATGCCTTCCCACACACACAGCACTCTAAGGGTTTCTCTCCTGTGTGTGTTCTCTGGTGCTGTGTCAAGTTTCCAGTACGATCCGTGCTGTTTGCATGCTGGTCGCATTGTTTCCTTCTTGTACTGAACTGCGCTGAGTGCCTTTGCTCCATCAGGCCAATTCTGCAGAGCGTCAGCTGCAAACAGAAAAGCATGTCCACACCATCCATGTGAGTATTGAGGCACAGAGGAATGCATATATACAGTCACACATGACTACACATCTATACATATTCATATTTTCATGATATAGTGAAAGAGATTCCCCAATTCATCACACGGGCTGTTAAGGCACACAATGCGAGGGCAAATGGTCATAAATATGCCTGGACACCCTCGTGTCTTCAAAATTAATGTTTACCAAAAACTCCAAGCACACAATTTCGGTTGTCTAGCTACGACAGGAATATTTAAGAAAAGTTTGTTAACATAGCAAAGGCTGTTGAAAATAATACTATTTGTATTATGCAGAAATGTATAAATTAATGTTCATTTGCTTAGAGGTGTGAAGCCAGGCTCAGATGAGCTTGAATGCGAGGATGAACAGATTTAACTTCAGCTGCATATGTACTGTGTTAATTTCCTGACTGTTTCCATTCTTATGAAAATTTCCAAAGCAAAACTAAATAAACTATTACTATGATTTAACCTCCATGTTCAATCGAGTCAATATACTTGACAGCAAATACAAACTTTACATGTTCATACACTTGCATGGTAAAAAGGTGGTTACATTTTGACTTAAAACTTTCGTGACTGCAGGAATTAATATTCTTTGGTTATTTCGGTAAAGTCACGTAGATAGAAAATAATATACAAATAAAGTGAATAAAAGAAAAAAACGACTAATGTAGACTGTAGCCTGGTTCTTAACCTCGGTGAGTGTATTGGCAGTCTATAATGTAGACTATTGCCTGTTTTTTTGACGAGACCTTTGCAATGGACTAGACCTTTGCAATGGACACTCACAGCTTTGTATGTAAAAAAGTCCAGGCAGCTTCCACATAGTGTTCCAGAGCCTAATGAAAGAATGCTGCTAGACTAATTTGAAGTGAGACTTTAGATGCCAAACCAGAGCTGGTCGTGAACACATTAACCAGTTATAGGAGCTCCTCCACCACGTGTAGAACGACCTGATTATTCATGGAGAGCTGAGCAGGTGCAGTGTTGAATGACATTAAATTCCCAGGGAGGTTTCTTTGGGTCTTTCGGTAAAGTCACGTCACTTAACCGAAAGACCCAAAGAATATGAATTCCTGCAGTTACGAAAGCTTTAGGTCAAGATTTTCCCAGGGAGGTGATCTTTTGTAGAACATATGCAAGGCCCCATTTCGTCATGGAATTCTCCAGGTACAGAACACGATTCTCCAACTCAATATCATTGAGTAGCCATGACCAGATCATCAACATGCGTAACATGGTTGACCAGCAGGGGACAATCCTTTGACTATAACCAGGCATCGATTAGCGTATCATTGTTACTGTATGAAATGCATTTTTTATAAGGCCATTGCGAGCTTCTCAAAACACAATTATTTGAAAATGCTACGTAATGTAATGCATGGGGCCAGAGGGAATTTCAGCCACAAGCCAAATTGAACAGGAAAGGGATCCGACTCCTGGTCACGCAGCTTTAGATGGGCCATCCAAAAATCATAAAAATCCTCAACGAATGTGAGCAGAGGCAGAGATATCGAAAACAAAAAACAATCCAAAACCCCAAGCCTCTTTATGGTATTATAGGCCGTAATTACACCAAGAAAGCAGAAATCTAGTTTCTGCTGAAATCCGTACTCCTGTGCTATAGCTGATGGACAGAAAATACAGCAGCCCCTTGAATAGCGCGGAGGTTACATTCTTGAAAAGTGCCGTGCGAAAGCTAAAATGCCGATGTCCAATACTAAAGCCTTACCTAAATAATGGGGTGAGGTTAACGGCAACTAAAATATACATCACAATTTAAATAAGTACTGTACTGTATTCCCAATAAACTAAATTACTGAAATAAATGTGGAGAAACCGTATACAAAACATTCCAAGATGAGTATAAATGTATATAAATGAAGCACTCTGTGTTTTTTTGAGAACCAAATTGCGCCAACACTTTGAAACATACACACATCAAAAATTCCATGCGTACTCAAGGGAAAGTTATTATGTTTTTCACACAATTTTTAGCTTACCTGTTCACCTTCAACACCTGTAACACCTGCATACTCCAACACCCCGCTGCTGCTATATTTTTCTCATTTACCACATTATCCTTACATATTATCAGGCCTGCATTTTTGCCACAAAATTCATTAACTTCCAGCTCCTTACTGTCCTTTCTACACACGCACGGCTCACCTCTAATATACTGCAATATTTTATCATGGGACCTTTGCCAGTACCAAAATATGAGAATAGGTTTTCCCCATTTTTCTGGCAACGAAACAGGTGTTAAGATGTTAAAACACCAAACTGAAACCTTTTACAAGGAATCATGTGTGCATTAACCACAATACTTGTGGTCAGCATGCAAACAAAAACACTGATAGAAAATGCATGGTCTGCTGCTGAGGCAGACTGTTGTAAAAGGTTTGAAATGGGTGTAGCCCAAGGGTCGTAAAGAAGTGGCCGGGGCTAGTGATGTTAATGTAATAAATTAGCAAGTTAATGTGAAATCGAAGAGTAGTGCAATCCAAAGCGGCCTCCCTACAAGACAGAGAAGGAGCGAGGCTCTACCTGGGTAAACAACAACTACCACCACGACAACAATAACCACGATGTGAACTTCTCACTTCGGATCTCAGTGAGCGCGCACGAAAATAAATCACGCTTGCGAACACAGAGCGCACGCCTGGGATACACTGCCGAGATCATCGACCTCACCACCGCGAAAGTTCAGCAGTATCTGACAAGCACAACGGGGTGGCAGCCAGATGCGATCTGCCCATATCCCCCATTTAACACCCTTGCCGAGCACGCGCACGTGTGTGTGTGTGCGAGAGATTTGCTCGCGAGCGTGCGGAATTCCGACGGCTGGTACGGGATAGCACCATTGCAAGTCTTCTTCCAGAGGAGGAGGTGAGGGGGGGGACGAGGGAGCCTCCGGGACCCCGTGAGACAACCCCAGATGGGTGGCAGGAAAATAGACCGGCAATTGAGATATCGCAGGCCATGCGACCCAAGTACGCGAGGAGGTAACCCAAGTACACCTGAATGTGACCAAGCTGCAGTCCACAGCGGAAATAGTCCAGTCCGAGGTGGGAGGGCTACGCTCCATGGTCGGGGGGCTAACCAGGCGAGTATCTCAATAAGAGGCAGAACTCGAACAAATGCGCACTGGGAGGGTAAGGGGGAGTGGACAAGGGGCCTCTTATGGAGCCACCGCCCTTCCCCGTGCGTGCTATCTATGCGACCAATGGGGGCATCTCGTGAGAAACTGTCCCCAGATCGCCCGCGAGAGAAACACCAGGGTTAAACACCAAGGCCTCCCTAAAGAGGGGACCACAGAGGGGTGCAATCGACGTGGTCCCAACACAAATAAACTGTCGTGATAATGGTGAGCGAGTGACCCCCACGCAGATGCCGACAACACCCCAGAATGCGGCGACTGCGAGTGACTGGCTGCGGGAGCTGGTGGCAGGAATAATGGGGGCCACGTCGCTCGTGGAAGGGCAGGTGAACAGGTGGCGTACCCAGATTCTGCTGGACACGGGGGCGGTAACGTCACTCGTGAGTGCAACACACTGCAGTGTGGTCGGGGTTGACGTGAGCTGCCTACAGGCCCCGGATCGTGCGCTGCAAACTGAAAGTGGAAGTGGGATGGGACTGCTGGGGAGGGTCACCCTTAAGGGTCGCCTCGGACACCAGGTGTGTAACCAGGAGTTATACGTGTCGAGCGTGTTATGCCACGAGTGTATTGCAGGTACCGACCTCCTGGAAAAGTTGGGGCTCAACGTGCAGCCCCGCCGGCGATGCGCCACCGTGGAGGGCAGTGGGGAGCGGATTCCTTTCTTGGGACAAGAGCCGGGTTGCCCTCGCTTCGAGCCCGTGGCCGCTATCCTGGCGTCGTCCGTCACTGGTGTTCCACTGGGTTTTCCGTTTTTCTCCCTAACCTAAACTCAAAATATATTGGTGGTGATCAAACAGTCCAATGCAGGACCCTCCTGAAACATAGTTTTTAACTGCTAAATAAGAAATTAAATTGGAAAACCCTCAAACACAGTACACTATTTTTTATTTTACCAGGTGAGGCCATCTGAGCTGCATAGCTCTTTTTCAGAATCGACCTGGACACAAATGATAGCTCAACTTAGTGGGTTATAATTTGAAATGTTTTGCAGCAAAATTCTCAAAATGCATGTTTCTAAATGTGGAGAAAAATCAATGCCACTACAGGAGAGAGAGAAAAAATAAAAAATGTAAACTGCAATTATAAATGCGTCAGGGTTGGAATCGAACCCACGACATTCTGCATACCATGTGAGGTAGTTAACATCTTGCCACCCTAGTACAATATATCACACACAAATAAATTACAGTGAAACCTTGGATTGCGAGCATAATTCGTTCCGGAAACGTGCTCGTAATCCAAAGCACTCGTATATCAAAGCGAATTTCCCCATAAGAAATAATGGAAACTCAGATGATTCGTTCCACAACCCAAAAATACTGTATTCATATAAAAATGATTAATACAAAATACTTTTTTTATTTTTATTTAATATAAAGTAATCAAATTATTAATTACATTTAATCGTGGCTGGTGTGAGGGAGACGAGAGAGAGGAGAGGAGGAGGGTTATTGTGTAGGACGAATTTCACTTGCAGTACAGTTACTAAAGAACAGTCACTACACTTGGACACAAAATAATAAAATGCTTTACGCACACACACGTGGTCACAGCACTATACTGTAGTAAACAGTATACGCTTGCACGGATGGTGACTATACGAGTGAGGCACGCCGACCGAGACAGAGCATGAGAGATGATTACCCACAATCCCGCGCGAGAGAGAGAGAAGAACCATTGGCTCAGTTGTATACCGAGCCAATGGTGTATACTGTACGTACTGCTGTTTTGCAAGACATCGCTCGTTTATAAAATTATTATTTATTTAAAAATTTGCTCGTCTTGCAAAACACTCACAGACCAAGTTGTTACTCGCAATCCAAGGTTTCACTGTACAATGAACACACTGACCCTGTACACACTCTACACGCGTGACTCACTCTCAAGCAGAGGTTGCAACCAGGTACCCGATACCCGTACCCTACCCGATACCCGGCTACCCGTACCCGGCCGGGTACGGGTAGCCGTTTGCGACCCTGGTGCGGCCGGGTACGGGTAGGCCGTGAGTCACTGCTGAGTAACCGTTTGTCACTCATTTCGGGTAGGGTACGGGTAGGGAACGGGTACCCGTACCCGGCCGGGTACGGGGATCCATTTGCGACCCTGGTGCGGCCGGGTACGGGAAACGGGTAAGGAATCAAAACCCGTTTGCGACCTCTGCTCTCAAGCACTCGCCCCAACTACTCTCTCCGGTCTGCTCTTGGTGACATCACCCGCCAGACAGAGGGGGAGGCGCTGACTCTGAGGGTGACGTCACCGCGCAACACGGCCGCTCCCCCATACGACACACACGGGGTACACTCACACAGAGTAGAGTACACTCACACAGAGTATTCTAACACAGAATAAACTCGCACACACACACAGTACAGTCCACTCACACAGAGTACTCTAACACACGGAGTACACTCGCACACACACAGAGTAGAGTACATTCACACAGAGTACTCCAACACAGAATAAACTCGCACACACACACAGTACAGTCCCTCACACAGAGTACTCTAACACACGGAGTACACTCGCACACACACACAGAGTAGAGTACATTCACACAGAGTATTCTAACACACGGATTACACTCGCACACACGGGGTAATCTCACACACACAGAGTACACAGACGCACGGGTTAATCATACACACAGTACACTCGCACACACGGAGTACACTCACACACGCAGAGTACACTCACATGCAGAGTGCACTCACACACGTAGAGTACGCTTGTGGAGTACACTCACATTATTTTTTTCTTAGGGTCCTTCGATTTTCCCCCCCACATTTAGTAACATGCATTTAGATTATTTGGCTGCTACAATCTTCCACTTGAAAAGCCATTTCGTAAAGCTATCATCTATGGCCAGGTGGCTTCTGACAAAATATCTAACAGCTCTGTGAGCCTTGGTTGGTAATATACAAATAGTTACATCATTGGAACCTCATTTGCCAGTAAAAAATATAATTGTTTTTTTACCCTTTTATCTGGCAACAAAACTGACACCTTCTTTACGAAGAGTCATGTTTGCATAGACCACAATACCTGCAGTCATAATGAAAAAAAAAACATAACTCGGATAATGTATGCACTGTCCTTGAAGTTGATTGGTCCACACCCGAGACAGCTTACCTTAGAGCCTAGTCTCACATGGTGTTGGACCAGATTACGCCAAAAGGCGCACAACTCAAAGACAATGCACCATCAGAGAGAGAGACAAGGTTCTAAGGAAAGCTGTTTCGGGTGTGGACCAATCAACTTCAAGGACAGTGCATACATTATCAGAGTTATGTTTTTTGTTTGCATTATGACTGCAGGTATTGTGGTCTATGCAAACATGACTCCTCGTAAGAAGGTGTCAGTTTTGTTGCCAGATAAAAGGGTAAAAAACAATTATAAAAATAGTTGTTCATCGGTCTAAAGGGTGCATCAGCAAAACCAACTCGGCAGATCGCTCCTGAATTAGAGTGCTGAGACTCATTGTGGTCATGTACTCGAGTGTGCACCATGGTGGCTGGGAGATGTTTACTGCCTCTCATGGATTACAGGAGGTGGTGGGTTCGATCCCGACCCCTCCTGTATATTTGGAGTTTGCGTGTCTCTCTCTCTCCCCGTGGTCGCGTGGATTTTCCTCCGGATCCTCAGGGTTTTCCCCTCCACATTTAGAGTCAACATCACCACGCGTTTAGAGTATTTGACCGACAGACATTTCCACACGTTGATAAGCCACTTTGTTCTGGACTGGTCGCTTCTGAAAACAAGAGCGGTATAGCAGCTGAAGTGAGCTTGGCCTGGTAGGATAAAGAAAACTGTAGAAATATTAAAAGAAACAAAGTTTCAAAGTAGTGAGCCAGATGAAGACAAATTAAACTTAAGCAGAGAATTAAAGCAAATACAATCAGGTGAGGGCAGGAGGCAAGGCCCCGCGTTGTAATGTTACAACCTGGACATCGATTCCGTCCTCGCTGCTACTCAATTGATATCCCTACGAGAGGAGCGAGGCTCTACCTGGGTAAACAACAACAACCACCACAACAACAACAACCACCACGATGTCAACTTCTCCTCTCCCCTCGGATCTCAGTGAGCGCGCGCGCGGTGCAGCAGCTTCCGGATATATCGTGACGTCACGCGGCAGCAGGAGGTGACATGACGTCACTAGCGGGGTTCATCACACACTCCCCTCCCACAACAAGCAGCGGTGTAATTGAATAAATTATGTTAACAAGCCGGGCCCACGTGGGGTGATTGGGCTTGGTTGCTGAACCCGTCGCAATGAAATAAATTATGTTAATGAACCGCCAGTCAAACGCGCGGTGGAGGGGGGGGGTTGAATATCTTGGTGACATGACGTCACTAGCGGGAACAGCTTTCCCTGGCGTCTCACGCCGACGAGTTAATGAGTGGTGACGTGACTGTGTGTGTATAAACTGTGTGTGTGCACTGTGTGTACAAACTGTGTGTGTACAAACTGTGTGTGTGTGTACACTGTGTGTGTACTCTGTGCGTGTACACTGTGTGCGTGTACGCTGTGTATACACTGTGTGCGTGTACACTGTGTGTGTACACTGTGTGTGTGTACAAACTGTGTGTGTACACTGTGTGTGTGTACACTGTGTGTGTACACTGTGTGTACAAACTGTGTGTGTGTACACTGTGTGTACAAACTGTGTGCGTGTACCCTGTGCGTGTACACTGTGTGTACAAACTGTGTGTTTGTGTACACTGTGTGTACAAACTGTGTGTGTGTGTACACTGTGTGTACACTGTGTGTGTACAAACTGTGTGCGTGTGTGTACACTGTGTGTTGGCACAGTCGGGGGTACAGATGGTGCATCGGCCAGCCAACTGAGTCAGTCGACCCATGGCACCTGGGTCTACCCCGTGCACATAGCCTGGCACAAGCGCCATGGTGACGTGACCGCCACTTAGTGGCGAATGGCGGTTGTTGTTATTGTTACTGTGTGTCCGGCAAAACAAGAGATGGCACCTCAGCCAGCCATCTCATTGAGTAGCCATTACCAGATCATCAGCAGATGCAACAGGGCTGACCAGCAGGGAAACAGGTCCCTGCGGGGTGGGCTGGTAGGAACGAACAAATGAATGGCTATAATAAAATGAAATGGCGGGGGTACGATACGAAGGGAGAGTTTGAGGCCTAGTTCTAGGCTTTAGGCCTAGCTGTAGGCTTTAGGCCGCTGTGAGTTAATTTTAAACTCTCAGGTAATTATAAGGGAATGTTACACTTGTTTAGCCAGGAAAGCCTCACTGAGTCTAAAGGTTTTTGTAGGGTCCTGCCAAGTGTTTGCAGTAGGGGGCGATGTTGCTACACGTAATCGGACGGAGGGACGATATAATCTATTGTAGGCTGGTTCACTTCGTTCCTACCAGTATAATCCCTTAACTATAACCAGTCATCGATAAGCATATTATTTTTAACCGCGACGAATGCAATTTATTTATACGGCCATTGTGAGCTCCTCAAACTACAAATTATTGAACATGCTATGTAATGTGTAATAAACCCCGTTGAGACGTCGTCAATTGAGAATTCTTTATTCAGTTTCGTTCACAGCTTCCACCACATTCGTTCCTCCAGTTCCCTTGCTCCTTCACGCTGTTGGCTGACAGCGTGAGAGAGAGACTGCGGCGGCCCGCCACGTCGCAGGCTCCGGACCACGGCACCAGCCACGTGGCTTCTCCGCTCCTTTAAATCCCTGGCCCACGTGATGCCCCGCAGCCAATCCTCAGCCACACCCCTG